AAGATTTCATCCTCAAACAATCCGCCTAACTCCTTTAACCGGCAATCAAAGCAGCCCTTTGGACGAGGATTCTGCTGGAAATTTCACGAAGGTGAAAGATGTTTTGGGTGTAATTTCAAACACGCCTACTTTAAATGTGGAGGCGATCACCCAGCTACAAAATGCAAGTCGGGAAAACCAACCGCCGCCACCTCTCGCACTGCTGCATCCAGTGCAACTACCAACACCAGTTAAAGTAAATAGATTACATTTTTACCTAGATGGCTATCCAACTAAATCGAAAGACTATCTTTTAAATGGGTTTCAACATGGGTTTTTATTAGATTATGTAGGGCCCCACAAACCCTCCAGTTGCAAAAATCTTTTGTCCGCTACTCAGAAGCCTGAAGCCGTTGCCGATAAACTGTCAAAAGAATGAAGTCTAGGTCGGATTGCAGGGCCATTTTTAGAACGACCTTTTTCTTCATTACGCATTTCTCCGCTTGGTTTAATTCCTAAAAAGACGCCAAGAGAATTTCGCCTTATTCACCACCTATCTTTTCCTCACGGTGATTCTATTAACTCTTGTATTCCTAACGATGCCTCTTGTTACGCGGGTAATCTTTTAGAGGACGGGTAGCTTGCAAACCAAACTGAACGCAGGGTTGTCGGAACAGTAACAAGAAGACTTATTCCAAGAATGAACGTAGTTTCCACGAAGTAAAACTCCACAACAGCACGTAACTCGTTAAACTTACACGGCCTCCGCCAACTTGAATAAACTTGATAAACTTACACGGCCTCCGCCAACTTGGATAAACTCTGCTTTCGTCACACTTGACTAAACACGACTAACGTCAAACTCTCTCGCTTGTGAAAACTAGTTAAAACTTAACTCGAACTGGCCTACTTATATACTTTTACAATAAGATTCTAGAACATTCTAAATACTCTAATTATAGAAAGATTACAAAATAAACCGCTTTAGAAACGCTTACACAAGATCCTAAAATAAACAAACTACAAACTCTCGCGAACCTTCTAGAAAGTCACGCAATACAATTTTTCGTAACATAACCCCCTTTCAGAAGAAATTTCCTAAATTTCTCCTAAACAAGAAAAATTGATAAATAAGGAGTAGTTCAATGTCAATAAACTTATTCTTCAGCTCTACTCAAGTAATCTGCTCCAACGTTCTCTGAGCCTTTAATGGCTTCAACTCTGAATGTATAACTTTGCAAAAACATAGCCCAACGCATAAGACGTCCGTTCGCAAACTTAGCACTGTTTATAAACCTTAGGGGTTCATGATCCGTCTGTAGAACAAAGGGAACTCCGTACAAATAAAAATGAAATCTCTTGATACCCCAGACTACTGCTAGGCACTCTTTCTCAATTGTAGAATAGTTCTTTTCTGCACTTGACAATTTCTTGCTTGCGTAGCAAAGTGGGAACAGCTTCTCATCATGCTTCTGCAGTAGTACGGCACCAATTCCAGTATTTGATGCATCCGTTTGCAAGTAGTACGTTTTCACTGGGTCCGGAAGACGAAGGATTGGCTCATTCGTCAAATGAAATTTAATGGTCTGATATGCCTTCTCTTTTGCTTGACCCCACTCGACTCTAGTTGGTTGACCCTTGCGTGTCAGGTCCGATAGGGGAGCTGCAATAGCTGGGAAGTTAGGGATAAAGTCTCTGTAATATCCGGCCAAACCAACAAACGAACGAACTTGCTTCTTTGTACCTGGCCTTGGCGCATTCTTAATCTTCTCGACATTCTCCTCGTGTAGACCAAGCATTCCTTGTTCTAGGCGATGACCCAAGAAATCAACGCAACTCGCCCCCAAAATACACTTAGTTGGTCTAATAGTCATCCCAGCTCTCAATAAACGCGCAAACAACTCTCGGAGGGCTTTAAAATGCTCTTCCCAGGTGCGTGTATGAACCACTATATCGTCCCAGTAAAAATCGACGTTGTCTACATCTTCAATAAATTTCTTCATAGCTCGCTTCAGGGTTGCTGCAGAGTTAATCATTCCAAACGGCATCTTTAAGAACTCGTAGGAACCGTCGGGTATTACAAACGCAGTCTTCGGAATATCCTCCTCAGGTATGGTAATCTGCCAGTAGCCCTTGCTAAGATCAATCTTTGTGAAAAACTTATCACCACTCAGCTTCTGGAACAGGTGTTCCGCGGTCGGCATGGGTTCAGGGTCAATAACAGTCAACTTGTTTAGCTTCCGATAGTCAACGCAGACTCGATTGGTATTGTCTTTCTTCTTCACTACAACAACAGGCGACGCATAGGGTGAATCAGACTCCCTAATAACTCCCATTTTAATCATATCGGCGATATCTTTCTTCAACGACTCCCTCATGCTGTAGGGAACTGGATATGGTCTTGACCGAACAGGCTCATCTGAGGTAAGTTTGATGTGATGCGGGGCGAGGTCTGTAGTACCTGGTGCCTCGGTAAATAGACTTGAAAACTCATTGGCTAGGCCCATAAACTCAGAACGCTGTTCGTCAGTGAGATTTGACCCGGTGGTAACGTCTGCAACAGATTCCTTAGTATCATAGCCACCGATCTCTAGGAAATCAACATTATCATCATCCTCCGCATCCTTTACTTCACTTTCTTCAATTTCACAGTGCATATCTTCCTTAAAATGATCACCTGCTTTTACCACCGCTACTGCTCCTTCTGTGGTAGCTTTATCTCTTTCAAAATACTTCTTGAGGAGATTCGCGTGATAAGCTTTCTCCTTTCCTTTCACTTTAACTCTGTAGTCGTTAAGGCCTACTACTGAACTCACTTCAAAAGGACCCTTCCACTGCATCAGCAACTTAATGTGATCAGTTGGTAGTAGCACAAGAACTTTCTCACCTGGCTGAAATTTTCTGACTCTAGTCTTGCGATCCTTTATCCTGAGCCTTCTGTAACTGACTGTGGGCTAATTTAAGGGTTTCTTCCAACTTCTCATGCAGCTCAAAAACATACTGGTAGCTGTTTTTGACTTCCGGTTCCTCTACTTCTTTCGTCCAAAGCTCCTTAAGAATGGTCATCGGACCTCTAACGGCTGTTCCATACAACAGCTCAAACGGTGAAAAACCAGTAGACTCTTGGGGAACCTCACGATAAGCAAACAACAAAGGGTTGATAAAGCGATGCCACTGTCTTGGTTGTTCACTACACAATCTCTTTAACATAAGCTTCATTGTTCCGTTGAACTTCTCAGTTAAACCATTACACATAGGATGGTAGGGCGTGGTTGTGATCTGCTTGATACTCAGCAATCGAGTTACTTCATTCATGCAATCAGAGAAGAACTGTGTACCAAGATCACTCAAAATCTCTTCAGGAACTCCCAATCGACTGAAGATATTTACTAACGCCTCTGCAACGGTTTCAGTGTCAATAGTCTTCAAAGGAACGGCTTCAGGGTAGCGAGTCGCAAAATCAACAAGTGTCAGGATGTACCTGTGTCCTTCTTCGCTCGGTGGACTGATAGGTCCGACAAGGTCAATGGCTACTCTTTTAAATGGTTTATCAATCAAAGGCATCTTCTGTAGTGGCACCTTCGGAACCGATCCCCTTGTTTACGGTCTTCTGACAGACATCACACGGTTTGCAGAAACGGGCTACATCACCTTGAATACCTGGCCAATAAAATGCACTCTGAATCTTGCCAGTCGTCTTCTTAATACCTAAATGACCTCCCATTATAGATCCATGAGCCACTTCCATTATTCGAGGTCTTACCTGCTTAGGAACCATCACTTGCTTCACAGGCTTCCCACCATTCACAAAAGGGTGTTTGTAGATGCGGTACAATATCCCACTCTTTACCTCAAAAGAAATTTCGGCTTGACCCTTCACTAGTACATCACCTCGGTCCCAGTACTTCTGTAAACTGTCATCTTCACTCTGCATCTGTTTAAGTTTCTGTTTATCTACAATGGGGCTCTCTTGGTAACTTGGTACTTTTAAAGGGGTAACTTCACCGTCTTTCTTAGCTTGACTTCTCAAGTTGGGTCGGGTTCATCTGCAGGTCTAGCTCCAGGAACGTTGCCTATTATCAGGTCGTAAATGGCATCTGGGAGACATTGCGCTTCCACTTGCCCCTTGAGATAAGGTGTATCCACAGTAATTCTTGCAATAGGTACCTTCCTCGCTGTGTTGTCAATGAGCAGCATAACTTTAAAGTCACCGATAAACTGATCCTCAGACACAAGACTCTTCTTAACTACTATTCCACTACAACCAATGTCTCTCAAGACATCCACAGTCTTCTCTCCCACTCTTCCTTTTACAACGGGCATTTTCAACCGATCGCCAGACAGAGGTTCAAGGCAGGCATTGCTTACTATTGGGGTCTTCTTACCACTGGCTAACAACAGTTTGTCATCCTTAATACAGGCTCTAACTTCTTCTTCTGTGGGTTTAACCTCGGGTGGCTGAACTAAACAACCGGCACTCACTTGCCCACGCTGCACAGGGAGACCATCTCTATTTTGTCCTCCTGACCTCTGCTTACCTGAGCGGCAGTTCCTCGCTTCATGACCTTGCTTACCACACAGGAAACATTTCTTGACCAGAGATGGGCAGTTAACAGCCTTGTGGCCACGAGCGTTACACTTGAAACACACTACTGTCGTTGAATCACTCTACTTGGGCTGTACTTGTAGCTTCCTGCTCGCAGAGCTGAACAGATGCTTTCCGTGTGCTTCCAAGTACTGATCGGCAATCTTTGCTATCTGAACAAGCGTTTCTGGGGCTCTTTCACGAAGGTGAATAGCTAACTCTTTTGGACATGAGCCAATAAATTGGTCTTTTACAATTAAATCTTTCAGGCCTTCAAAAGAACGCTCAGTGTTCGACAGCTCTAGCCAACGCAACAAGTATCTATCCAATCGCACTATAAACTGTGCAGGACTCTCGTCAACGTCGGGCTTTGATGCTCTAAATTTACGACGATAGCCGTCCTCTGTAAGGTCATATCTCTTCATCTAAGCTAACTTTACTCGATCATAATCTTGGGCTGCCTCTCAGATAATCGTGAATAAACCTCTAGAGCACGTCCAGACAGAAGAGCACTAAGTTTCGAAGCCCATCCTGTCTTCTCCCATTTAGCTGTAGTTGCAAATCTCTCAAATCGTTGTAGGTAAGCATCCAAGTCGTGCTTGCCATCAACAAATGAGGGAAGCTTGGGTGCCTTGGCCCTATCCTCTCTCAATTCACCGCGTTCGGCGACGTTACGGCCTTGTCCTAGACGAGCGAGCTCTAGTTCGTGCTCTCTTAGCAGCTTCAATAGCTTCTTTTTGCTTTAACAGTTCCGCTTCCAGCTCTAATTTTCTCAGATCGCGTTCTTGCGCCTAGCTTCTCTTTCTTCGTCCTCTCTTCTACGCCTTTCGTCTTTCTCTTCTTCTTCCTTTCTTCTGTCTTCTTCAAGTATTCGACGTCTCTCTTCCTTTTCTTCTTCTAACTGCCTACGCTTTTTCTTCTCTTTCCTCTTCCAATTGTCTACGTTTTTCTTCTTTTTCGTCTTCCAATTGTCTACGTTTTTCTTCTTTTTCTTCCTCCTCCCTCCTTCTTTCTTCTCCTAACTTTTGTTGCTCCCGCACAAACTCGAGCAGTTTTTCTCCCTCCAATCCGAATTCTTTTCCAATCTGCAAAAGCTTTTCCATTTCCACAGCAGTAGTTCACAGCAAACACACTCGATATACTTCCTCGTATCAGTTCTTCTTACTTCCACTGTATATTCCTTTTTCTTGAACTGTCCTTTCCTGGTTACTGTAGTCGGCAAACAATTGAATTCCTCTCTCGGACAGGCCCCCAATGTTACGCGGGTAATCTTTTAGAGGACGGGTAACTTGCAAACCAAACTGAACGCAGGGCTGTCGGAACAGTAACAAGAAGATTTATTCCAAGAATGAACGTAGTTTCCACGAAGTAAAACTCCACAACAGCACGTAACTCGTTAAACTTACACGGCCTCCGCCAACTTGAATAAACTTGATAAACTTACACGGCCTCCGCCAACTTGGATAAACTCTGCTTTCGTCACACTTGACTAAACACGACTAACGTCAAACTCTCTCGCTTGTGAAAACTAGTTAAAACTTAACTCGAACTGGCCTACTTATATACTTTTACAATAAGATTCTAGAACATTCTAAATACTCTAATTATAGAAAGATTACAAAATATACCGCTTTAGAAACGCTTACACAAGATCCTAAAATAAACAAACTACGAACTCTCGCGAACCTTCTAGAAAGTCACGCTAGTCACGCAATACAATTTTTCGTAACACCTCTACGGTTAAATATGCCTCGATTGACGGTGCGGTTAGACTTATCAGGCGCACAGGCAGGGGCTGTGCCCTAGCTAAGACAGATGTCAAAAACGCTTTCCGTCTAATCCCAATGAATCCATGCGACTATAATTTGTTAGGTTTTTGTTGGGAGAACAGCTTCTATTTTGATAAGTGCCTGCCGATGGGGGCCAGTTCCTCTTGCAAAATTTGGGAAAGCTTTTTAACCGCTCTCGAGTGGATTGCTAAGTCTAAGTTAGCTATCTCAGGTGTTTTACACCTTTCAGATGATTTCCTTCTCATAGACAAAACTGTCTCAGCTTATGAACATAATCCGTTTAGGTTTTTAACGATGTGTGACGACTCGGGTGTCCCAGTGGCCCCTGAAAAGACAATGGGTCCCAGTAGTGTTTTATGTTTCGCCGGAATAGAATTAGACACTGACAAAATGGAGGCTTGCCTCCCAGAAGAAAAGCTAAGAAAATGTGTTACTCTTATTTATGAATTTCTAAAGCGTACAAAAGTCCCCGTTAAGGAGATACAATCCCTTATTGGTCTTCTGAACTTCACTTGTTCTGTCGTCATACCCGGCAGGACTTTTCTTAGACGAATGATTAATTTGACAGTTGGGTTCAATCGCCCGACTCATTTAATTAGACTAACGCGTATAGTCAAGGACTATTTTAAGCTCTGGTTAGAATTTTTAACACACTTCAATGGCAAATCATTCTTCTTAGATTTTCAATGTCTTTCATCACCTCACTTGCATCTTTATACTGATGCTTCTGGCTCTCTAGGCTATGGAGCCGTGTTTCGTCAGAATTGGTTTTACGGTCCGTGGCCCCAATCCTGGACGTCTAAGAATATTATTGTGCTAGAAATGTGTCCTATTGTTCTCAGTATAAAAATATGGGGTACTCAGCTGGCGAACAAATGTATAACCTTTCACACCGACAATCAAGCCTTCTCGGAAGTCAATAATAGAAAGACGACCAAAGATAGGGAGTTTTTGGTTCTTCTTCGCGCCTTGGTTCTATCATGTTTGCAAAATATCTTATTTAAAGCTGTACATCTCCCAGGCGTTCACAACACGAAAGCTGATTCTTTATCGCGTTTACAGGTGACCAAATTCAAGTCCGTGTCCAAGGACATGGTGCCAGAACCAACAGCTGTGCCTCCTCAACTGTTATCAGAGAACTGGCAGTTATAACAAGAACTCTTTTAGAGGCAAGCTTAAGTAACGCTTCTGCATCAGTTTATAAACGACCTTGGAAGTTATTTACAGATTGGTCGGCTTCTTATTTAAGTGATATGCCTATTAATTTGCCTCTTCAACCGGCCATACTGGCCCTTTTTATCGCGCATTTATACTCTAGGAGTTATTCTTCTTCGTCAGTAACAACTTACATTTCTGCTTTAGTCACGTTCATAGACTTACTGGTGTCGCTGCTCCTACTGAGGCGCCACTTATTATACAAATTTTAAAGGGTTATCGGAAACTAACTCCTGTTAATGGTGTCAGGTTACCCATTACTTTACCAGTATTGCGGAACTTAATTAGAGCTTTCGAGCATTCCCTTTCTTCACATTACCAGTCTGGTTTCGTGTCTGCCATGTGTGCTTTGGCATTTTTTTCTTTTCTCCGCATTGGGGAGTTAACAGCCTCTCGAGGCAACACTACCAATATCATTAATGCTTCGTAACTAGACCCTCTTGTTGATGCTCAGGACCGAATTCAGGCACTGCAGCTTAAGAACCCATGACTGAAAATATCGAGAATCGCTGCTCGGGCTAAAAAAATCGAAAATTCTGATAATTTGTCAGAAAAACTCCTTTGGGGAACTATCTTCGAAAAAAATATTTTCAACCTTCAAGAATCTATAGTTTTCGAGAAAATGAGGAAAAACGAAAATAGCGGTTTTTAACTAATTAATGATGCAAAAATAAGAGTAAAAATGACCTACTTTATCGCGTCTGTACCGAGGCAAGATTAAAAGCTATAAAACAGAAATATTTTTGCTTAAAAGAATTCTATCTTTTCTTTCTATCCATGGTATGTTTTAAACCATAAACTTGATCTTGAATTTTTTATGGTTTTTTAAAAACTACCATCAATGGCACTTTTTAAAATGGCTAAAAAAGGAGCAACTTCAGAGGCAAAAAACTCACCTTGGTATGTGTGATATCTAGCCAAAATGTATACTAGAACAAAGTTCAGCTCTTATATTAACAGAATATGAAGCAAAAAATCTGGGTACTCCGGGTTCGCCTTTACAAAATAAAAAGTTTCGTGACAACCAGTGGAAAAATGTCACAAATTTGCATAAGTCAAATTTGCAGAGAAATGTTGCGGCAGCCGGTTTTGTTCCAATTCAGGGTCAGTATGTTATGTTCGGAAACATAACGAAGCAAGAAAACGTTTTTTTGATAAAGTTCATGTTGAAATAACAGAGTAATTAACCGTTCGCAAAAAAATAATAATAAAAATCGACCTCGAAGAAGCGTTATATAAAAGCGCCGAATTATTGTGTAAACTATATCCCATGTCTCTCGTTTCTTTTCCTAACTTCCTTGAATTAGCATCCATCTGTATCATCGTAAATTCGCCTCCGGTATATCTAAAATAGGTAGGTACATTTTCCTTGAAATTTTATTTTGAAGGAGGGTTTTTGCTAACGGGATACGCTGCGTGAAAGGAAGTCATAAACTAACAGTTAGAGTAACAATGTCACGCAACGACGTCTCGACCGGCTCCGCCTTCTTTTACTGATTTTTTCTCCTGATGAAACTTTATGGAAACTTTGTTTTGAACAGACAATGTATTGTTCGCAACATCATTTGTTACTCAGTAGTTTATTTTCTTTTCAGAAAGAAGGGATACTAACTTTGCATGCCTGTCAGTCACGCACTAAGAGTTAGCATTTTCTTGTCAGAGATGTTGAAATCTAATTTTTTTACTACGTATTACAAACAACAAACTGTCCCTTGGTTAATTTCTTTACTTTTTCACAAAAAGAGGTATAATTAGGCAGCTACCAGCTACAGGAAAGATTTCAGTTGGAAGACTTAACTGGGTGGGTTTTGGTGTTTTGGATAGGTGGTCGCACATGGAGTTTCAACTGTACTCCAACAGAGTAAATCATCTTTCACGACGATGCGACTAGGATTTGTCCATGGACGATAAGACTCCTTGTTCACCGCTTTTGAGCTACTCTAACCAACTCCCACCCATGTCGAGTGCTTGCAAAACGTAGCATCATCTTGAAAAGAGAAATATCAGAAAGGTCATCCTTGACGCCCCTGGCCTATCGCAGTTTGCGGCAACGAACTTATATCGACATAAGTACCATTTACTAACCTGGCAGTAAGGTGACGCACAGTAAAAGCGTAACTTGACTACGTTTTTCAGTTTACAGCGGACCCGAGTTTTTGTTTAAAGGAATACCTGCCTTTTGCTCAGGAGTATTAACGTCAGTACCCGCAATGTCCCAGCTCGAGCCTTCACACCGGAGCGTCCGATCGAATCACTGTTTAGTTGATAGTTACCCTTCTCTTCCTCTTCCCGACTTATCTAGGAAGATCGAAGGACCTCTGCTCTCAGGGTAGTTGATAGCGAACGAGGAGCTAAATAACATAGCGAGGTAAGTAAGTGGCATCGGCGGTTTTATTTACGCCTAACCGTTTCCCAAAGTAAAGAAGGAAAGAACTTCAGACAAAGGGAAAGAAGAGTTATGCGATAAAACTGTTTATAACATAAAAATGTTTATACGTATGGTTGACGGAAGAAAACAAGTGACTACATAAGTATCCCTACAAGCCTGTTTCGTGGTTGCCCACTCATCACCCTCTGATGAGTGGGCAACCACGAAACAGGCTTGTAGGGATACTTATGTAGTTACTTGTTTTCTTCCGTCAACCATACGTATACTCGCTCTACTTTATGTATTGAGCACTGTTTTACGGATTTCAAGTTCAAACCTCTTAAAAATGTTTATAGCTATGGCATATGCGAGGGGGTGGGGGCTATTTAATTGCTGAATAACATGTGCCGTTACCAAAAAATTACGGAAAAACATTTTTTCCTTGGTTTGGAATTTTGACAATGAAAATTTTAGCTCTAGCCATTTGTGATACCAGGCAAAAAACAATCCAATATTTACATATTTCCCTCTTAGCAGCAGACCCTCTAATTACAGTGTCCTTAAGTTTGGACGGTATCTAATGTTATATATCCGCAGGAGCGAAACATGGCAACAGCTGGTTACAGATTGATCAATGTGTGAGGCGGGGGTTCTGGGCTCCCTCTGACAGTTCTTGTCAAGAAGACCACAAATCAGTATATCTGCTGTTTTGGGCTAATTATCAGTCATTACTTACTGCCTTTACTGCCTTTACCCAGTCAAAAAATGTTCCTATAGAGTTACATGTGGGGTATGGAGAAGATATCATTTTATCAGGGAGCACTAGCCAAAAATATCTTTTTGGGTGATGCAGATGACCCAATTTTTCCAATTTTCAGTCCATGTCCATCCTAGCCATCAGTAGCAACAGAACGCGACAGGAAACAGTTTCAGTGCCTAAACATAGTCTTACATAACAAAACTGGACCATAATTTTTGGAAGTAAATTGATGCGAAATGAAGACCATATTAGCTTTTTAAAATGAACTAGCAATTAGCTTGGCATAGCCCCTATAACTCTTTTTTGACGGCCAATTTTAGTACGTAGAAGAAAACCCCGCCTTTTAACCAAACCCTCCTTTTTGGACCGGCTTTCAAGAAGTTAGTAGCCTGCATAACAGGCGTTATTTTTTTCGCGTTTTTGCAGGACAGCAAGGCAAGCGCCAAGTGCGTGAGAAGCGCAGATAAGCGCGACGGGGAAGACGCAGAAAAAACAACGGCCTGTCCACATAGCATTGTTTTTCTGCATTCCGCCCCAGACATACCCCTTAATGGCTCTCCTCACTCGCTTCGCGCTTGCATTCGCTCCGGCTTCGGGCTTAATTGCCTTCGCTCGCCTGAAAAACGCACGCCTGTTATGCAGGCTAGCCAGTTAGCTTGATATGGGAATGGCTGAAAAAGAGATTTGCAACACAAGACTGCTCAATTGGACGTACACTAATTTAGAAGCTTTTTAGGCGCATTCACAGAAGCCAAAATTTGGATATCTCTTACGAACCTATATCGATCTTTCTCTCCCGCTCTCTCTTTTCCCTTTGCCTTTCTTCTTCTGTTGCTCCGGCACTTGATCGTCTTCCCACTCTCTTTGTTTTGCAAGGAATTCTGGCCGCTAACTTTTCAGGAAAGGGACATTTAATTAATCTGTAGAGAATAGAAGGTGAATAGAAAAATTGGAAGTATAGATTTTTTTACCCCAAATGTTGCTTTTTGTGTGTGTGTAACTCTCTCAAGATACATAAAGATGAGTGAAAATTTGCTAAATGAGGTACCAGTGGAAAAATCCATCCTTGTTGATTTTGATCAGTTTATAACCTTGGTCTGAATAAATGGAGAGTTAAATGGCTTCATGAAGGATATTCAGAAAAGAGAGAAAAGGGGGCAATGATTACTTTAATCTTGTCTTTACTTACGTTATTTTTAATATGCGAGAAGTGGCAATTTCACTAAAATATAACTTTGAAAAATACTGAGAAAAATAACTATTTCGGATTTTTATTGATTGAAAACTTATAGGGTCTGATGTATAGTGTTATTCATGGCAAATCCCTTAAATGCCTCGACGAATGAACTATCGGTACTATAAAGGCATGTGCCCACTCCAAGAAAGATGTATGACCGCGAAATTCATTCAGGCCGGAATAAAGTAAAGTTAAGTAATCTGACATGAATAATGTTTCTTTACTTACTTCATAAGCTCGCATTTTTTTATCGTACCGATAAAAATCAAGTCTGACTGTGCTGAGTTTGACAACGGTCACGCAATTGCAGAATACTTACAGTACTCCAACACCCAACAACAATTGCTGAGCAACCTTAATCTTATAATGTACCATTAAGAAGAGCTAACATGCAAATTACAAAACATTTAACATTAGCTATTCTTAAGCCTCAAATATTGCGTTATGCTAACAGTATTGAAACCTGTCCTTGTGTACGATAGGTCTATTCAGATACATATATATGCAAATT